CACTGGATATGAAATCTGTGTGCAGGATACATTGAAATAAAATTTAAATGTGTTACAGGGCTCTGCCATGAATGTTTTAAAATATTTTAAACTTGCATCACAAACTTGAGGCTGAAAAGGAAAAATTATTTGAAAAATTTCTAGGTGGATTTGCAAATTAATTTAATAAACCATTCATGAATGGAAGTGAGGTTTAAACACAATGTGTGTGGATTAATAAAATAAATAAGAGAGCTGAGGAGAGCGCTCAGCAGGTAAAGTGCTTGTTGTGCATGCACGAAGACCCTAGTTCGGATCCCTGATGTACATTAAAGCTGGGCATGGTGGCACATGTATGTAACCCCAGTTCTGGGGAGACAGAGATAGGCAGATCCTGGAGCCTCACAGGCCAGTCATTCCGCTGAAACTCTAGGTTCAGTGAGAGACTCTGTCTCAAAAAATGTGGTAAAGAGCAATAGAAGGAGACACTCATTGTTGACCTCTGGCCTATGTGTACACCCATGTACACACACACATACAAACATACACACACACACACACACACACACACACACACACACACACCAAGTAAAAAGATAAAATGGAATTAGAAAATATAGCAATAAATCAGATAAGATATATTAGTATGAAAATGTATGAAGCTTGTCATTATATTTAATTAATATATGCTCATAAAATAATAAGTAAATAAAGAGCTCAAACTAAGTTGAAGAGCTGGGGGACTTGAAGAGTGATAGGAAGTATCTACCCAGAATTTCCTCCTTCCCGGTGGAGTTCTTCTGATCTTGGAAGTGAGGGTGAGAAATTCGGAGGATAAAGCAAGTAGCGTGAGCATGCAGCTAGGGAGAGCTCCAGAATAATGAATGACGGAGGAGAGACCAGGAGACAGCGGTCAGTATGTGGATGGAATGTGAGATGCAGGTGTGTGAACCCTTGGTCCCTCGCTCTGGTGCTATTTCTTTGGGAGGTTCTAGAACCTTTAGGAGGTGGGGTCTTGTGGCAAGAAATAAGCCACTGGGGAGGGGAGGGGCTTAGAGGCTTTTGGCCTGTCTACTGTCTTCTTCCTGTTTCCTGTTCCACCAAGGTGTGAGGTGAGGAGTCCCAGCTGCACACTCTTGTCACCAGGGAGCTGCCTGCTCCTGGACCTTCCCTCCAGGAGGGACTGCAGCCTCAAACTGTGAGCCAAAATAAGCCTGTCCTTCCTTGTGTCGCTTCTTGTCCTGAACTTGGTCAAAGCAACAAGAAAGTAACTAATAAAAGAAGTAAGGGACAAATAAAGGCATGGGGGAGGGGGGAGTAACAGACCTCAGAATCTAGTCAAGGTGAGTTTCAGAGCACAGGAGGAGAGCCCCCCAGCCCAGCAGGAGGAAGGTCAGAAATACTGACGCAAAGAGGAAACAGTGAATGAATGATCATCAAGGCATCCAGTCCTCGTGAAGCAGCAATAATGAAGAAACACTTTGTAGGGTTAAAAATTAGGCCAAAACCAAAGTACTTGACCAAAATAGCATGTAAATTTGGAGGGAAAGTAAAGATACTTATTAAAATTTAACTTTGCCAAATTAAATATTCATGTTGGGATTTCTACAGTGGATGCTGAAAGAATAAAAATAGGATTTGGCAAGTTTTTTTAAATCAATATATGAAAGTTATTTGCATTTCCATAATGTATGCAATAAATGGAGGACATAATTTAAAAATATGTAGTATTTACAATAGCCACAAAAAGGATGAGGTCCATAAGAGTAAACTAACAAAAAAATGCGTAATTTCATCATGGAGAAAATTGTATAACTTTATTGAGACATTTAAAAAGCACTTAGAAATGGAGAAATGGACTGCTTTTATGGATAGAATTGTAATGTATTAAATTTACCAATTCTTCTCAAATGTATGCAGAATTTTAATGCAATCAAAATAATCAAGAGATTGTTTTTAATAGACTATGATAAGTTAATTATTAAATACATTTTGCAAGGGCAAAGGGCAAGAATAGCCTAGAAAAAAGAGCCCTGCTGAAAGAGAACATTTTTCAACAAACAGAACAAGCCTTGTTGGATAACAGGGCATGGTGGCTCATGCCTGTGATTCCAGCCCTTGGGAGGCAGAGGCAAGGCTATTGCAAGTTCAAGGTCAGCTTGGGCTGAAGCTTATGCTATCACTCCAAAACAATACAAGTACACACAAAAAAGGGTGGACAGGGCTGAAGAGGTGCCTCAGCAGTTAAAAGCACTTGCTGCTCCTCCAGAGAATCTGAATTCAGTCCCCAGATTGGTTCAGGAGACTCACAAGTGCCTGTAACTCAAGAGTTAGGAAATCTGATGCCTTTGGCTTCCAAGGGCATCTGCACTCATACGCACACACACACACACACACACACACACACACACACACACACACACCTATACACACATGGATCCCCACACATAATTAAAAGTAATAAAAAGGAATCTTAAAATAGTATTGAACAAAAGTGTGAAAGAACATGAAAACATGTTGGACCCTTTCCTCATTCAATATGTATCATAGAACTAAAAGTAACAGATAAAATTATTAAGCCTTTGGGTAGATAAAAATTTTATAGGGCATAGAAAGCATAGTATTTTAAAAGAACAATGAGAATTTGGTACCTATCAATACTGTATTTGAAATGTTGCTCTTCAGAAAACATCACTCTGAACTTGAAAGAGAAATTCTCAGCCTAAGAAAAAGTTCATGATAATGCACACAACAGACAAAGATCCACAATCTACAGAATGTCCATAATATATAAAGAATATGTGTACATCAACAACAAACAACTAACAGCCCAATAAGAAAAGACTAGACAAGACATTTCATAAAATATATCAACAGATGGTTGTAGTCTCTGTGGAAACTCCATCTAGAGTCTCCATTTCAAGTCCAAGTTCAACCTATTGTCTGCTGATCCCAGGCACCAAGACAGTCTAGTGCTGGTGAACTCTGCATTTGTTTAGTTGCCCCTGACAGCAGCAAGATCCACATGGTAGGTCCACTCCAGGGCCTGCATGGTTGCTATGGGGCCCAGTGTGCTTAGAATCTGCGGCACTGCCAAGGCCAGGATACAGTTCTAGCCAGATACTGACTGTTGAGAGGTACGGAGAGATCCCACTTGGAAGGGCTTTGGCTTAGGCACCTGAGCTGAGGAGATGTGGCCCCACTGTTCCATAACTATATCTAAATGTTGCCAGATGTCTTCTAAAAAAACCACCCCACACTGAGAACCGCGTCACAGCAGAGCAGGGGTTCCACAGTGACCCTGCCAGCACCTTGGGAACCAGGCTCCTTGGATCATGTTGGTGTCCTTGTTCTGAACAGAGGCTGCCACATGCCTCCATCACTCCATCGGCAGCTCAACATCAACCCAGCCACACATCACTTGGAGCTTAGCAAACAGATCGACAAGTCCACTGGTCCCCAGTTTTAACAGTCTGGACACTTTGTGTTTGCGCTGAAACAGATCTCTCCCATCCCCGTGGCTATCTGCCTTTCCTATCCATTTCATCCATGAGAGCTTTACATGATAAAGACAACCTCCTACCTCAAACAAACCACAAACTCTGACAGACTCAGCTGTGTTTTGTTTTGTTTTGGGTGGAGGCGGGGTTCTCCATTTCAAGGAATACTAAGGGGCATTCTTGCGACTTTCAAGTTTATTTTTCGTAGTGTTGGAGATCCAACTCAGGGCATCATGAGTGCTAGCCAAACACCTCCCTCCTGCTGAGTTCCATGCCCAGCCCTTCAGGGTGTTCAATGGAGAATTCTTTATTGAGCTCTCAACAAAGCCACGCATGTAGTTACCCTCCAGCGTGACCTTTGTTCTGGATCCATGGGCCGCACTGCAAGAATAATACCACTCTTATAATCAAGGGCAAGATGCTCTAAGATCACATGGCTCCTGCTTTTGCTGCCGCAGATGCTGTCCAGCTTTTCCGGCCTGGCTCGGAAAAGCTAAGTGAAAGATGCCAGCACCACCACAGTTCTGCAGATGCTAGCAAGGGGCGGGTAGTAAGGTGGAGGGTCACATAGGAAGCCTACATGCCTCGTGACACCAGCAGTGACCTGGTCAGCACAGGACCAACCTCAGAGAAGTGCTGCTGCTGTGAAGGTGACCCAAGCCATCCCCGGCAAAGCAAGGACAAGTTACTTAGATATAGATGGCCCTTCATCCCCAGACTCTCCTAATGGATTCAGCTGTGGAAACAGGACCATGAAATTATCAGGGGGGAGGGGGGGGTTAATGGTGGAGTGAAAGGGCAGTCCCCATGAGTGCAGACTAATCCTGCAGGTCACAAAGAAGAGAATGAGTTTGCAGGAAGCACTGGGCCTCTCCTTGATTCCTGGAGGCCACACTCCTGCCTCTGTTCCTTCCACCCAGCTTTACATATAAGTGTTGTTAGTGGTCCCTAGTGCATGACAGGAATTGTCTGTGTGATGGAACCTAAAGATGAGCCCTCTGGGTGGGAGTCATAAGGGTGGAAGCTGTGACGGTGGGATCAGTCTCTTCCCTGTAGGAAGAGAGGAATTTTTTTTTCTACTTTGGGTGGAGAGAGAAGTAGGTGACCATCTTCAAGCCAGGAAAGGAGCTCTCCCCAGAAGTGTGGGAAATGGGTGCCTCCTGTTTAAGTCATACATCACTGGGGGTGTTGATAATAAAACAGTGCTGGTTGGTGGCTCTGGTTACCGGCAGAAAAGTCACGGGCCAAGGCCACGACTACCAGAGTTACAAAGAGCTTTATTAGAAAGAAGTAGGGGAGAGGAGGGAGGAGAGCCAGGCCTGGACAGAAAGGAAGATGGAGGGAGCAGAGAGAGAACACAGAAAGAGAGAGAGGATTGGGGGTCCACATTCGGCTTTGCATGACCACGTGGCTGGTATGTAGTTGCCAGTGTCTCCTGATGATGTCAGACCCCAAGGAATGAGAGCAGAATTCTAACAGGTATTGTGAGATATTTTATTATTGCCAGTGCTAAGGAACACAACCTGCTTCCACAGAACGGGATACTGGACCATGAGTGAAGCAGGGAACTCCAAGAAATGGCAAGCAGAGAGTAAGCTTCCACAGAGGTGACCTAGCCTCACAGTCTGATGAGGGAGACGAGAACAGCCTTCGCAGCACAGGGACAGAGCTGAGCAAGATGTCCCCTGGGTCCTCCCCAACCCAGGGTCATTCAGGATACCCCAGAGGGTAAGGTCCCACCAGTTCACTGGCATGCCTGTCCTCCCTGATCAGGAGGACATTTGGCTGCTTCCTCTTTCCCTGCAAAGTATCCAATGTGCCACATGCTTTCTCTGTCACCATCAACACTCCACTTCCTCCACAGGTCAGAAGTTAAGTTCTGTGCACCTGGGCTTTTCACACGATGCTGACCACTCTCTTCAACATAGCATGGGCATTGATGACCATGACATCATCAAAACTGGAAGATCCTCTATTTCCCCAACTCCACATGGTACTAGAATTCCACTTGAGCTAAAGAGCAAAGACAGCAAGTCAGTGTTATCAGTGTGGCCTCTGTGAGTGGCAATGGGCAAGTCGGGTAAACAGACACCACTTCGCACATTGCTCTAAAAATGAAGCCAATGGGAAAGTTCGTTCAGGATGGTTACACACAACCTTTCAAAAGACAAAGAGCATAAAATGGCTCTGGTTGTTGTTTTGTTTTTGTTGTTGTTCTTGTTTTTGTTTTGGCAATAGACCAGTCTAGTTGCAAAAAAACTTCAGCAAACCTAAGATGGTGCCATTGAAACCATAGCCTGGGGTATCCGGATGAGGGTAACTTCAACAGCAGAAGTTGCTCCCTTGGGCTTTAAGTATGAGGAGAGGGGGTTCTCAGCCTTCCAGGCCCACCCACTCTGCCACGGAGCCAGATCCAAGCAAAGCATGTGCTTGCTCTGCGGTGGGAAGGGAGTCCTCCTCCGTGCCAAGGACAGACTTCTCCTGAAGCACTAATTACCATCAGCCCACACACAGCTTCATCACTCCACACACTGCTGGGAAGGGTTGCTGTGAGGAGCCTCTGCATTAAAGGACAGTTGGTACGTGGACCGTGAGAAGTTATTTAGAATGTTGTCTGGGGGTGGAGGTGGGATGGAGGTAGCACTGAAAAGTATTGTGTGTACCTGTTTTCGGTACCATTTTATGGCCGCTTCTATGTGGTCACCGACCAGTTCCACCTCAGCAGAGCAAGAGCTGTGCCCCCTCACTGTAAGTGGGGGATCCCCCCTCCCAATGCCTTCTTTTCTCCTTCTATCTTTCCACAGAGAAAATGTCAGGCCATGCCTCCTTCACCTCCATTCATTTTATTTCAAGAAAAAAGATTGGAGGTATGTACTCAGAAGTGGGACTTCTGTATCATATGGCCATCCTATTTTTAATTTTTGAGAAACGGCCACATTGTTCTCCACAGTAGCTGCACTGTCTTACGTTTCACCAAAAGTTCAGAGTCCCAATTTCTGTACATTTTCCCACTTACTTGTCATGTTCTGTTTAGTTTTGTGGCAGCCATCCTCATGAGTGTGAGGGGACACCCATTTCTTATGGCTTTGATCCCAATTCCTATGATTAGTAACATCAAGCCTCCTTTTTGTGTATGTGTTGGTCACTAGCCTTTTGTGTGTCTTTTTTATTGCAGTGTGTGTGTGTGTGTGTGTGTGTGTGTGTGTGTGCATGTCCCTGTGTGTGAGTGTAGGCAGAGGTCAGTGGATGGTATCCAGTGTGGGTTCTGACTTTTGACCTGATGAAGGGTAGGTAGGATTTCTTGTCTGTTGCTGCATATGCCAGACTGAGCCTCCAGGGAGCCTACCTCTGCCCCCCACCATTTCACCGGAGGAGTACAGAAAATACAGATGTGTGCTGGGGGTCCCAGCTCAGCCCTCACACGTGCACAGCAGGTTCTTTACCCACTGAGCCCTCTCCCCAGCCCTTGAATGCCTTCTTCAGAAAATGCCTTTTGCCTTTTCAAACATGGTTATTTGTCCACTTACTGTTGGGTAGACATTCTCTTTATCTCCTGAAATTCACCTCTTACAAGACACAGGGTCTGAGATGGCTCTGCTACTCAGAGGCTTGCTTGCTTCCTCTTCTGAGCATTTCCTCTGGTGTAGTTGGTTCCTGTTGCTGTGGTCCAGTTTGCCTCTGCATTCTGGCTCTGTTCCCTCGGTCTCTTTGAACATTCTTTGCACCTCTGTGCTACGGTGTGGCCATCAGTGAATCAGAGGAGATATATCTTAGTTTTCTTTCTGTGGCTGTGATAAGCACTATGACCAAAAGCAACTTGGGGAGCAAAGGGTTTATTTGGCTTATATGTTCCCTTTATAGTCCGTCCAGGAGGGAAGTCGGGTCAGGAACTCAAACAAGAACCATGGAGGAAGCTACTCATTGACTCACTTCCATGGCTTGCTCAGAGACTGTTCTTACACTGCCCAGGCCCACCTGCTCAAGGATGGCATCACCCACGACAGCCTGAGCCCTCTCACATCAATTAAGAAAATGCCCTACAGACATGCCTTCAGGCCTATCTGATTAAGACAATTCCCCTACTGTTATTTGTTGCTGGAGAGCCCAGGTGCCTCCCCTCGCCCCGCCTCGTAGGCGTGACAGTTGCCAGAGTCTCAATGGGGGTTGGAACTTCCAGAACCAAGCTGGAATGGCTACCCACTACAGTTATTTCTTCCACTCAGGTATGTCTGCGTTTGAGTTAGGTTGACAAAAGCTCCAAGACACATCAGGCTTTCTGAACAATGTGGTTTCAAGTCAAGGTTCCAGGTAAAATTCTAATTCATCTGCTTTCTCCTCTGAAAAGTAGAATGGATACCCCTGCTGTGGGATGGTCTGTATGTCAAATCTGTTGCTCTGATTGGTCAATAAATAAAACACTGATTGGCCAGTGGCTAGGCAGGAAGTACAGGCGGGACTAACAGAGAGGAGAAAAGAAAGAACAGGAAGGCGAAAGGGAGACACTGCCAGCTGCCACCCTGACAAGCAGTATGTGAAGACACCGGTAAGCCACAAGACACGTGGCAAGGTATAGCTTTATGGAAATGGATTAATTTAAGCTATAAAAACAGTTAGCAAGAACCCTGTCACGGCCATACAGTTTGTAAGCAATATAAGTCTCTGTGTTTACTTGGTTGGGTCAGGGCCGCTGTGGGACTGGCGGGTGACAGAGATTTGTCCTGACTGTGGGCAAGGCAGGAAAACTCTAGCTACAAACCCCACCACTGTCTGCAGTGTTTAATGATGACTACATTAGAGTTCTCCAAAGGAATAGAACGGATTATATGTGTGAAGTAGAACTGATTGTGTGTGTGTACACACACACACACACACACACACACACACACACACAAATGTCAAAAGTGGATTTAGTAAAATAGCTTACACAATGGGGCTTGGGTAGTCCAACAATGGCCCTGAGAGGCTGAGGGGACAGTAGTTCTTCAGTCCACAAAACTAGATGCCTCGGTAGTCTGAAACTGCCTCAGAAGGATCAATTATTCCTGGAGAATTGCTGGTCTTTGGGGCGCACTGGAAGGCCAAGACTCTGGGCTCGGATATCAGTGAAGGATAGCAGGGCCAGCAACACCATGGAATAGATGAACTTACTAGCAAGACGTGCAGACAAGCAGACAGCACAACTGCTCCCGCAGAGGAATGTACAGTTCCCCCAGGAGGGACTTCTCCCCAACTAATCCTTCCTGGAAGTGCCCTCACCTCCCATCCTCCAGACCTGTCTCCTAGGTGATTCCAGATGCTCTCAGGTTGACAACCAAGGTCACCCATCACAGTGACACAGGATGGCCCAGAGCAGCACACCCCCCCCCCCAGAATTCTTTGAACCCTGTTTTTGAAAGCACATGATCTGGCCCCTGCTCCATGGACACGGTGCAGAATCCACACGGTCTGGGGAATAGAGATTTGTACTCTGCCCCGGACTTCCTCACAGGTTCTTCAGTGAAACCTTGGGCGCTTCGCTGTCCTGCACTTTTGCTGGCTGAAGTTGGCTACTTCAAGACTGCCCCCTTCTCAGTTGCACCTATCTGAAAGAGACCCTTCTGCTGAGTGGGTTCTCTGTTCTGGGCACATTGGCATTTGCTTCTGGGAGGCTCGCAGAGACTGTCACATAAGACACCACCACAGAAGAGACAGGAACTGTGTGCCCACTGTTCCCACGAAACACTGTCAACTCTACAGTTTGAAGAAATGCTTGGCATTTTGTCTACTGAAATTGTGAGGGAGAATTTACTGGAAGGAACGGGATTTTGGTTTTCTCTTTGTTAGTGTCATCTTTTTAAAAAAAAATCAGCTTCATAAGTAAACTTTACTTAAATGTCCATTATGTGCAATAAAATGCATCCATTTAAAATGTTTTGACAAATGCCAGCACCAGGGTACCTTGACAGTCAGGGTGTAGACATCGCCCCCGCCCCTGAGAGAGCCTTGAACACTATCCCATGCTAATGCTACATAGCTCACAGGGGGCTTCAATCTGCCTTTGGACAGTCACTAAAGACGTTGAGTGACTTTTCATGTGCCTGTGTACTCCCTCACCAAGTGTTGTTTCAAATATGTTGCTGAGCTTTTAATATTAAAATTTGAAATCACTTGCACTGAGATTTGATTTGCATGGGATAAAATGCATTTATTTAAAATATGTAGTTTGAGTTTGTAGTGTAATACTTTATTGAAGTGCCTATCCAAATATTTTTACCATTTTTATTAGATTGTTCATCTTCTCGAGTTATATGAGTCATTCGTATATTATGGATACAGTTTCAAGATTCAACCATTTTTCTTAAACAAGTGCTCCTAAGATTGTTGCAAACTTGTAGTTAATTTTAAGAATTCTGAATTTGACAGTTCTTTACAGTTTTCTCGCTGCTTTCCTAGAGTGACAGATATCCGGAGGCCATGGCCATTTGTAACTATTCCTTGTGACTCTTCATCTCCACTGGTACCTGCACATTACATCCAGTCTGTATGGCCTGCCTGCCTATCCCTGTGCAAATGGCGCATTGTGTTCTTAGTTTATCATAACTCTTAAGATCAAATGAAATGGTCACATAAAAACTACAGTACCTGGAAGAGCCCTCCCCCCGACACACACACACACAAAAAAAAAACCCATAAAGGATAGCATTAGAGAATTCACAAGTCTACTCAGAAGGGGCTGAGACGTCAAGGCCACATCAAGGTCACATCCCCTTTGGGGCAGTGCTGAAGCTGAGGTGCCCTTTACTGTTTATAGCTGGCCACAGTTTCAGGATGGACATAGGGGCCTGTCAAGGGAATTTTCTGCTCAGATTTAAGTCATGATTTTCCCCCTATCATTTCAATATGGTGAAGTAAATTGATTGATTTTTAATGTAAACCATTCTTGTATTCTGGGAACAATCACCTCTTGATACTAATATATTATTCTTTATAGGAAACATGCATAATTAAAATGCCACAACCGACCTTCAGCAGCTGCACCTTGGCTACAGAAACTCACAGCAGCAAGCTTCAGTCTCCACTCTCTGCTGTACATGTCACTGTCACCTGGTTTCCTATGGTGCACGTTGTAAATGCCACAGTGCATTGTTTTTCAAAATTGCATTTTCTTAGGTCTTTGGAGAATGCCCCAGTGCAAAGCCAGGGCCTTACCCTCGTCTGGTCAGTTGGAGCCCAAATGTCCTCAGCACTGTTTACTGCCTGAGCTCTTGGGATGGTGCAACTTGCAGATTTGGTATACTATCCAGGTAAATACTCTCTGCTCTGCAGCTGCAACTTCACAAAGGAGAGGGCGGAAGTCACCTCTGGTTCCCCAATCAGAGGAGAAGATCACTATGAAAATCGGGAATATTTTTTCTTAACTCTGGGTCTATTATGGAAGGTTGCTTAATATCTACCCAATAGCAATTTCCTTCTACTCAATTCTTTCTGGCAAACCTCTTGCCTTTCCAATAAACTGAATTGTGTTCCTCTCTTTTTAATGAGTTGAATCAGCCCTAGCTTGTGAGGTTGCCACACATGAAAAGGGGGTTTTCAAAGAAGATGTAAAGGTTGCACCTGCTGCAGAAGGATGGGACCGTAACCCAGTTCGATGGGTACCCTCACTAGCAGACATTACGATGCACTCATCGATGGTAGAAATCTGCAAGCCTCTTGGAGAGATGAACACCTTCAACTTGGACTTTCAGAACTTTGAGACAGTTACTGCTCATTACTTCAGCTACTTGGGATGGTATTTGGTTATGACAGCCCAAGCAGATCAGCACAAATCCAGCAGGTATTACGTGGTGCTGCATTTGTGGAACATGCTGTCTTGGTCCATCTTACATTGCTATAGCATTATTAGGAAGGTCAGGAAACATACAAAGAATGGAGTTTGACTTGGCTCCCAGACTGAGGGCTGGAAATCCATGCTCATGCCGCTGGCATCTGCTTAGGCTTTGATGGGCATCTTCTTGTGAGATTTGGGGAGCATATTCAGATTGTAGCACACAGCCACGCCCTCCTCAGAAGGGAATATTGTCTTATCCAGAGGTAGCTTTGGTATGGACATGTGTCACCACAGCCAATGGGACATGAGATGGGAAGTCAACCAGTCAGCGAGTTCATTAAAAGAGTTTGTATGTAAGAAGCAGAGACAAGAGGGGTAGCTGTTAACATTTGGGTAACATCTTGACGTCCATGTATGAACTTATCCTGCCAGCAGGAGGGACTAGGCCTGGGGGTGGTGGCGGAAAGAAGGCATGAGAGAGCCACAAGCCCCTGTATTGTGTGCCAAATCCAGGGCCACCACCGCACGCGGCACCAGGAGTGCAGCAGACCCCATTGTGTTAGGCATCTTAGTACCACATCATCCTTTATCCGAAGGTACGCGACCAAGCATGCCACTATTCTGTAGCTACAATAATATTATGCACTTTGTAACATACATATGTATTTATACATCATGATTTTCCATGTCATTAAACATTTCTTACAAACATGATTCCTCACAGCCACATAATGTATGAGTTTTCCATCTTCCTGTGGTGAGGTCTTCGGGCTCCCAGCTTTGAAAATGTGCTTGGTATGGAAAAGCTGTCAAGAGACCTTTGTCTTCCCTTCAGATTACATCAGGACCAGTGGAGCAGGCCCCTTCTGCCCCCTGCTGCATGTGCCTAGTGGGAAGCACAGGCAGGCGTGAGGCAAGCTCCTCCCCCACAGCTTCACAGGAGGTTCCCATTTTTAAAATCCTTGTGATCTGCTTGACAACAAGTGACACCTGTTTCCCTGCTGAGGTTTGGTTTATAGGGAGACAGGCTGGAGGATTGAACCCAGGGCCTTGTGTATGTTGAACAAGCACTCTATCATTGAGAAGCAACCCCAACCTGGTTCCTTTCATTAAAATCTCCCATGGCTGTACAGACATGCCTTTCCTACCATGCATGACTCCCTTGCTCACTGCCCTGTGACACAGTGCCTCTTCCAGATATAAGCCCTTCATGGGATTACTACGCAATTTCCTTTCTGCATCATCATCCTTAAAAGCCTAAATCAAATATCTTCCTCTATGAAGAGCATTTTATTACCCATGGACTAGCCAGTCCCACACCCCCATAGCCACACTCACGTATCTCAGTGTACATCTTCATTATACTATTTCATGTGATTGAGTCCTTGAAAAACAGATGCTCAGGAAGCACGTGGTGCATGAATGAATGAATGAATGAATGAATGAATGAATGCACTGCTGGTGCTGAGTATCCTGCCTTGGTGTTTACAGGCTTGTGGCAGGACATGACAGGTCCCCAGATGGGGATCCTGTTCTCCATTCTTTCATGACAACATGATGCCAATTGGGGAGATACCTTGCTGTGGGATGTTCTGTATGGCAAATGTGTTGCTCTGATTGGTAAATAAAACACTGATTGGTCAGTGGCTAGGCAGGAAGTATAGGCAGGACTAACAGAGAGGAGAAAAGAAAGAACAGGAAGGCAGAAAGAGTCACTGCCAGCTGCCACCAGGACAAGCAGCATATGAAGATGCTGATAAGCCACGAGCCATGTGGCAAGGTATAGATTTATGGAAATGGATTAATTTAAGCTGTAAGAACAGTTAGCAAGAAGCCTGCCACGGCCATACAGTTTGTAAGCAATATAAGTCTCTGTGTTTACTTGGTTGGGTCTGAGTGGCTGTGGGACTGGTGAGTGACAAAGATTTGTCCTGACTGTGGGCAAGGCAGGAAAATTCTAGCTAAAATACCTTATTCAAGACTGAGGCAGAAATCCGGGCCAAGCAGACAAAAAACCTCCTCTGAGCAGAATGTACCTCTGGCTCCTTGTCAAGGCTGGTCTGGCGGTCAGCATGTCATTGTCACTAAAGCAAAGTCACTGTGAGTGCAGACAAGGGAAAGATACTCAGACACATGGATGTGCTGTCCTTTTTTGCCTGCATGTGAGGCTCCAGGCTGCTTCACCATGGTCCATCCTGGTCTAACGGACACCAGAGTCTCCCACAGTCACCCAACTTTCATTCACTAGGGTGCTCAGTCATGTTTAAAAAGTGGAGTGAACACTGCCTGAAAATCCCCACCTCGGAAGCTTTGCCTGTGGCATCTTCACCCATGACCCCGGGTCTACAGAAACTGTGTTTCATCTTGTTTTTTTTAAAGCTTCATCAGGGAGGAACTCACTCTTGCTCATCCTTCCCCCGCCCCTTTGAATCACACCAAAGTGAGACCCATGCAGCACTTTTCTGATTCTAAGACGTGTTTCCAAGTATTATGCAGTTATAATAGGGAGGGAAAGCACACCCCGGATGCTGCTGCTGAGGCCGTTCACAGGAAGCAAGCTTTTGAAGGTCAGCAGTGCAAGTCCGTCTTTCTCACTCTGACGGACTCATCTTCACGCTTCCCTTTGAACAGCATTGAACAGTTAAAGGAAAGTTGTTTTAAATGAGCAGCCATTTCATTTCCAAGAGCAATGGAGATCCTGACATAACCGGATGAAATCTTTTTTAAGAATGTCTACAGAAATGAATTTCTCTATGGCTGGAATAATGGAAGGCTGGTGTGTTTGTTTCAGGGATTTTTGCTTAATTTCATCCCACCATTCCTGCTGCTGGGTGGCTCATCACTGTCCAAACGCATCACTTCATCTCCTTAGTGCTGATCATTACAGCTCCTCATTGCCAAGCCACATCGAGCAGCGGAGCTGCCTCCCACTAGAAAACCAGCTCCAGAAAGAAGAATCACACTCACCCTTCCCCTCCTCAGAATGATGGTCTGTTCTCTCCCTGGGAGCCCAGCATGTCCCAGGAAGGCACCACGCTCAGCTCATTTCTTAGGAGAAGATAAGTCAACTTCTCCAGTTACATTTTGTTCCCTTCAAACCACGTAATGCTACCACTCAAATCATAAAGGGGATGATATCTTTCTAACCAGTCCTTGGCAAGGCTACATCACAGTAGTTCTTGCTGTGTTGCTGATAGGCATGGGTGCTCCAAGTTTAGTTGGGGAAAGTTTGCACCAGAGAAGATGGGATGCTCCACAGGGACCCACTAGTAGGTTCCCTGACCCACCTGAGTTAGTGATCTTTCTCCCTGGTGTGCCATCTACAGAAACAAATTAAGAGAGAAAGGGTTTGTCTTGACTCACAGTTCTGATAATTTAGTCCATAATGGTGGGGAGAGTGTGACAAATGGGATGGACTCCATCCATGGCATTGGGAGCTTGAACAGTCATCTCCTAAAGATCACACAACTTCGCCAAACAGCTCCACCAACTGGGTACCAAGTATTTAAGCAGATGAGCCTGTGGAGGACATTTCACATTCAAACATGACCCATTTCCCCAGGTTCTGGTCACCAGCCAGTCCCCAAGAAGAGAAGTACAGGGCCTGCAGCTGTAACTGTCTGCTCATGTGAACCCTACCATAGCCACAGGATGCATCATGTAACAAACATCCCCATGCTCAGTGGCTTAAACAGTGGATGTTGGTTTAGTTCATATGCCCCTGGGTTGGCCAAATGGTTCTTTAGTTTAGCTGGGCATCTGATAGCCACCCATGGATCCTAAACATCTGGAATGACTGGTCCTCTTCCACATTTCTGGAACCTTGCAAGTGCCTGAAAGATGCTACCCTGCGTCACAGGACCAGATGCTGAGTGTGGAAAGAATCAAGTCACCACTCCTGGACCCAGGCTTGTTGCCAGCACCTTTTGTACCTGGGTCTGGAGTCTGAGGGAGGGACAATGAGCAAAAGCATTTGGGGACTGAACTCAGATCATCAGTCTTGGCAGCAAGGGACTTTAAAAACCTTTTAACTGAACCATCACACCAGCCCACCTTTTCCTTTCTTGAAGTGACTTCCAATTTGTGAAACACTTCCCAGCCACATGTCACAGGAGGGGAGCACTCCTACAGGACCAAGCTTCTGATTGCTGCAGCTGGTTGACTGGGTGAGTCACTGGAATTTAATCTGCCGTGGTTGAAAATGCACAAGTGATACTGTCTCCTGGGTGGATTAAATGTGGAGATGCTGGGAAGGTGCAAACTGCACATTCTGCATTGTGTAATGTGACCCAGCTATGTGCCATTGTAACAGACGTATTTCTGGTCACTCTTGTCCAGAAATGCACAGCACAGTGGCATTGCACATGGAGCTTGCACTGGCCTTGTATGGCACTGCAGAAGAACTTTTAAAAGATCTGCTATCCGCAGAGCTTGAGCCACAGCAGCAGACCACACAGGGTACTGTGGTCCACAAGATTCCTCCCGCTAGCCACATCCTACCGACATCTGTGATGGAAGCTCCCAGTGTGGGCTCTGGGCTCAGCAGCAACAGCAGCCATGAAATTGCTGGAAATACCTGTTCTCATGCAGTCCCATATGCTGATTATCTGGAGCCCTGAAGGCTCATGTATCTGAAGTCTGAGGCCCATGCCTCAATGCCAGGTCTTCCCTGAGGGACCCAGAGGGAGAAGTATGCCTGGATTCTGTTTC